TCCTGCTACCTGGGTTGGGGTCTCAGTTTGTAGCAGGAGACTGCTGAGACGCCGTGCTGCTGAGTGGGATGGGAGAGGGGAGGAAGGCGGCCACGTGGATGCAGAACCTTGGCACCTGATGTGAAGGGGACGTCTTAGATCTGACCTGAGGCGGGAGGTGGGGTTAAGGGTTGGGGAGGGGAGACTTGGAAGGCTAGGAGAACCAAGGGCCTAGTCCTAGGGCCTCAGCGGTTGGAATGCAGTCTTGGGGGCAGGGCCAGCAGCCAGGTGCACTTTTCCCAGGGCAGAGACTGAGGCATCCTCTCCCAGTATTCTTTCCGGGTCAGCTCTCTGACTCAGAAAGTGGAGAAAGACTGCTGCTGATTCCAGGAAGCTTCCACTGGAAGGTGGCTAGTAGCAGGGACAGTGATAGTAACAGGGGCCACTGTACAGCTGGAGGTGTCCAGTGGGGTAGTTAAGGTCAGAATCTGTCTCCTACTCTGAAATGCAAATAGTAGTAGCTCCTACACACTGGGCAGTTTCAAGGATGCCAGCCCCTCCTTCCCTTGGGGCCTGGTGTGAGAAGGAAGAGACAATGTACTGGGTTTATGAAATGTATTTGGGGCCTGGGTTAGGCAGTGATTTCCAAGAATCTTCCCAAAGCTATGTACTTATAACAAAGACAAGGTTCTAGCTTCTGGCCAGTTTCATACAGGCTACATTATTAATAAGTAAATAATTTTTGACCTTCAGGGTGGGTCTGCACTAACCCTTTCAACTTTAAGACACCCAGTTCTCAGGAGAAGGGATTAGCGCTCTCTTGGCAAGCCCTTTCCCTTCCACCCCACCCGCTTGCACACTTCGGACCTGTTACCTCTTTTGGGCTTATATTAGTTCTATCTACTGTGTGGGAGCTCCTGCCCAGGCAGGAACCCTGCTTACTCTCCATGCCCCCTCCCCCAGCCTGACACACAGTACGTCTGCACACCCTGTATTGCTTGTTGGGTAGTACATTTCCCCTTCCCTTGACCATTTCAGGGAGTGATTCACCCTGCAGGGCCTTGTTGAGCCATACTGTGTGATAGGAGCTATCTAGCCAGGCTCCTGGGGGTCTAGCTGGAGAAACACAGCAGTTACCCAACTAAATAGTGTTATACACCTGAGCATCTTACAGAGCCAGATGAGACCTGCAGACAGTTACAGCGTTACTGAGCCAAATAGATATCACTGGTTTGACACAGCATCCTTTATTGCTAATATTGTTTCATGCATTCTGAGAATAACCTTATGAGATAGATGCTATTACAAACACACTTATAGATGAGAAAACTGAGGTTAGTGTGTTAAGTGACTTGCCCGAGCTAATCATTGGTGGTGGTTCCACACTGCCCAGTGAGGGGCTTGCATTAGGAAGACTTCTTGGGCAGCCAGGATAATGGAGAGAAATTGGAAATGGGGAGATCAGGTGCACTGATGGCAGGTATCAGTTGGTTTGAAGGCACTTTCAGAGAAATGAAACATTAGTATCTATTGGGGGCTCCCAAAGGGAGGGGGTATCCAGTGGATCTCCTGGGTCTTTGTTAGGTAGTTAAACTGATTTCAATGGAGGGAAAAGATACTGTATGTAGCAACAGACTTTATACCCAGATTTACATTGTAATGTCTTAGGGAGGAACTCACTGAACTCAAAGTATCCATTTGTAAGAAGGAGAAAAAGTATAAAATACCTGGTGATTCCTGCATGTTTGTGAGTATGTGTAAAAGATAAAGGAAAGAAACACTTATTTTTCAGAAGGAAGTAACATTGCTATGCAACCCCTGTCACAAGAGGTTTTGAAAGGTGTGTGCCAAGAACTATGAGTGTGCACAAAAGTAGTTTTGGAAGACTTGAGGTAAGGGCTGTGTTCTAGTCCCTGGACATTTGCTTTAAAGCCCACTCTTCCCTCACCACAGTGGGTGAGTTCCATCAGGTGAAGGCCCAATCCTGATGCCTTGGCCCAAGCCGGTTCCAAAGTGACCATCCTTTCTAGAGGAGCTTGCATCCCTGGTGGTGAAACAGCACTTTGGTCAAGTCTTTTCATGGTCACCCACACAGGCTGGATTCAGTGAGGACCCAAGTTATAGGGTTTAGAATTCAGTGAGGTCCCGATTTCTTGGCTTTCCCATTCCTTTGCCATCACTGACCCCTTGTCAGGGGACCTCACCAACCCCCAGGGAGTGAGGACACTGGTTTCTGTGTCAGGGGAGCTGAAGGACAGAGGGCTCTTTATGGAGGCAGCACCCACAGTGGCCAGAGCTTCTCCGGGGTCATCTCCTTCCACGTGCTAAGGAAACTATGGCAAGAGTCCAGTTCATCCAGCCTTTAAAAAAATAAAACCCACTGACCTTACCAGAAGGGACCTGGCTGCTGAGGCTGGTGGTAACAATTTCATAGTTCGCAATGACCAGGGCTAGGCTATGGTATTATACAAACAGTGCTAGGTGTCATCTGAGGACAATCAGGCCTAAATCAGGGAAGCGCAGGCTGTGCTTTTAACATGTCCCCAGGGCTCTGTCCCATAGCATTGGGGAGGGTACTTGGGCGCTAATGTCTAGCCGGGTCTGACTAGTGGGCACAAGGAGACAGGATTCCAACTCTGGCTCCAGCTCCCTTCAGAGCAGCTGTGCCCTTGTCCAAAAGGCCTTTCCCATCCAGGACCTCAGTCTCCCCATCTTTAAAGGAAGAGTTCTTAGGTGGTTTCCAAACTGGGTCCCTCAGGAGTGTGACAGGGAGCTCTGGGGTCCTACCCACTGCTATTGTAGGTTTAACATCCTGGTGGTCCATGTGACTTTAGTGGCTGGAAATACATCTCCGTACCCAGCTCTGGCATTCGAGTATGCTTTGGCTGAGTGCCTAGAGGGCCCCTTCATGGCCTAGGCCCCTTCAGGTTTCTGGCCTCTCTGGGCAGAATACCACATCAAGGCCTGCTTCTCTCATTGAGCTGCCTTCCACCCAGTCTGGCCCTGACTGAGGCAAAAGTGAAGCTGGTTGAGGTTGCCCCAGCAGCAGCAATTTCCCAAGCCGGTGTGAAGACACCTGACTGTCCTGACATGTCTCAAGTGTTCTGCCCAAGTGACTCTAACTCGGCAGGGCTGATGATCAATGTTTCTCGAAGCTGGAAACCAGGTGCAGCCCCCGGTTAGGATCTGGCTGAGACATTCTCATAGTTTCCTGTGTGCTGACCACACTTTGGCCCTATCACAGCTCTTACCCCTGGACTTGGCTTCTTTTAGGCAAGGCTGTTGCCACTAGATTCTGGACCCACAAAATCAGGAACTCCCTTATTGCCACAGACCAGAGCTATTTGCCCTGAACGACTGTTCTCTTGCCCTGAACGGTGAGGCAGAGTCCACTCAGAGGAATGAACTTCTGTGAGCTGTAGCGATTCTACCAGCAAGTGGGTCTGGCTGACCCGGCCCACACAGTTTAGGCTTCTTGCTCAGAAGTCAGTTGCACTCATAGGCTGGATGTTACAATAAGTTTTAGTGAATTTACCACATCCTTTTTTTTTTTTTTTTTTTTAATTTATTTTTTATGGCGACATTTGTTAACGAAATCCAATAAGTTTCAGCTACACACTTTAACAGTAAGGCATATATATGTTTATCTGTGTGTTCACCTCTCATAGTTAGATTTCTTTCTGTTATCACATATGAATTTACCACATCTAATTTTAGGATACTTCCTCACTCCTAAAAGACCCCTTCTGCTTGTTTGCTGTCATTCTCCATTTCTTCCTCCATTCCCAGCTCCCAGGCAACCATAATCTCCTTTCTGTCTATAAATTTAACTCTTCTGGACATTTCACATAAATGGAATCATGCAGAATGAGATCTTTGAGGTCTGGCTTCTTTGACTTAGCATGATCTTTATAAGGTCATTCATGTTATAGCATGAATCAGTACTTCATTTCTTTTTCTTGTTGAATATTCCATTGTGTGGATTTACCACATTTTTGTTAATCCAGTCATCAGCTTTTCACAGTATCTTGCTCTTGCCCTAGCTCTTCTGATGGCAGACTGTGTGACCTTGGGCAAGTCACTTCCCTTCTGTGGAACTTAGAGGTAAGAGATCCCATCCTCAAAATGAGGAATAAAGTGAGCCTCGTTTCTGCTGTCAGGAGCTAGTATTTACTGAGCAATTGCTCTTTTCTTATGCACTGTGCCAAGCTCTTTCTCATTCAGTCAGATTCTGTTAATATCCCCATTTTACAATGAGGAAACTGAAGCTCAGAGAGCTCACACTTTGCGTCTTAGAGCCAGGATACATTTATTCATTTGTGAACTTTGCGCCAAGCACCGAAAGGACACAACAGTTAAAAGGCTCAAAATCTCTGCCCTCTTAGAGCAAATAAATAGTTACATAATGTCAGGTGGTGGCAAGTATAAGAGGAGATGAAGAAGTATTTTAGGTAGTGTGGTCAGGGAGGGCTTCTCAGAGGAGACAACATGGGGCAGAGCTCGGAAGAAACTTTCTGAGGTGTGGAGGCAGAGTCTTTCCTGGCAGGAGCCAGCTAGAGCACTTCGGGGAACAGAAAGAACAAGGACTGCTTCTGAAGTTCACTTCCGCTCTGGCATCCTGGTACTCTCACCTGAGTATGAGTTGTTGTTCTTTTTTTTTAAAATATATGCATAAAAAACAATATACTGTACATATGTTATAATGAACCCGTATGTACCCACCACCAGGCTTAAGAACTAGGACATTACAGTACTTGAGGAATTCCTGTGTGTCCCTCCTCCCCCTCGAAAGGACTATACCCTGAATTTTGCATTATCATTCCATTGTTTTCCTTATAGTTTTATAACATTTGTTTATATTCATAAACAGTGTTCTTTTTTGCTGTACAGATCTTTCTGTAGTGTGCTTCGTTCACATGCTATATTTGTGGGTTGGTGCCGATGTTGGATCTGTGTAGTTCACTTATTCTCACTGCTGCATACTATTTATCATATGAATATATTGTGTTTTATCTATTCTGTTGATGGGCCATGTGGGTGGATTCCAGATCTGGCTGTAGCAAACAATGCCGGGCCCTCCCCTGTGTGTTTCATAGAGCTTGTGTACATTTCGCTGTGGACGTGGTTTGGTGAACAGAGTTGCTGTGCGTCTGCAGCTACTGACTCGGTTTCTTTTTAATGATTAGAAGATCACTCAAGTTTTCTATTTTTCAGGTCAGTTTTGGTAAATTATTTCTCCCTAGACATTTTCCCGTTTTCACATTTTGTTGCATCGTCACTCAGTATTTTATCATCCGTTCTTATTTGCTCCTTCAATTTCTAGTATTGCCCCTCTTTTCCTGGATTCTGCCTTATCAGAAGTTTGCCTGATTTTTGGTCCTCTTTTAAAGTTTTTTTTTAAAGAATTAACTCTTGGCCTTGTTTAAATATTGTATATAGCTTCTTATTTCATAAATTTCTGCTTTTTAATTTTTTTCCTACTGTCTTTGAGCTCACTTCATTTTTCTAATTTTCGAGTTAGATCTTAGCTAATGGTTTTCCACTCCTGTATTTACTTTCGATTTATTTAGGCCTAGCTCTAAGCTCTCAGCATCACCTTCATAGATTGAACTACTTGGCATCCTAAGTGAACTGTTCAAGCCAAGGCAGAGTTTTTGAACAAACTCGTAACTCCCATGCATCTCTCTGGTAAAGTGCCCAGCAGCTCCCCTACCCTCACCCCAATCCCACCCCTCACCTGTATCTAGCCAGTGTGTGACATACACAGCACCCTGGACTGGGGTCTCCACCTGCAGTTGCTCCCGCCCACCCACTGGCCCCAGGGGAGGACAGAGAGGACAAGAAAAGCTCAGGCCCTGAGTCTGTAGATGCAATACATTTTTGGCCTGAAGGTCCTCTAATAGGTTGCATTTAAGTGTAACTGTGTCTCCTATTTGCTTAGCACTACAGTTAACAGAGCTCTGTCTCAATCCATGGCTCATTTCTTTCCATCTGCCCTATGGTTAGGGTTTGGCAGGGGGTGGGCAGTGGCCACATTCCCAGCCCATCAATAAGAAGATGGAGGCACTGCGAGATTTGGCATCTGGTCCTCCAGCAGATGGTTACCTGGACTTTTCGAATGCATTATCTTACTGGGACTCTTAGACAAGAGATTTGGCATCTGGTCTTCCAGCAGATGGTTACCTGGACTTTTTGAATGCATTATCTTACTGGGACTCTTAAACCCAGCATCCCCACTTACAAATTAAGAAGCTGAGCCTCAGGGAGGTGAAACACTTAAGTCACATAGCCTATATCCCCACCCAGGACACTTTTCAAAGGGAGATCCATGAAAGCTCTGGATAGAATGGGGTGGATACTTGGCCCCTAAGGACCTATTATTATAGGTAAGTGTGAAGACAGGGCCAGCAGGCTAACCCCTCACAGGCCTACCAAGGAAAGGTTAAAATCAACTAATTTTCAACTTCTGGTGTCTCTTCATGGCTGCCCTCCCTCCACATCCACTGGGGGCCTGGATATGCTTCTGCCACATGCAGAAGGCGCTTGTGCCATGGCATTTATCCCTGATGCCCTTCTTGGTAGTCAGGTGGGAACGTCACCCTGGGATCACAAGGTGGACAAGGCAGGCAGAGTCCCTGCACCCTTCTTTCCCCTCAGAGCAGTTTGGCCCACTATCCACCTACATCTTTCTTCCACTCCTTTCATTGCAGGGTCAAGACTTTTGAAACAGGATTCCTCAGGGACAGGATTGCCCTTGGGGGTGGGAAGGACATGAGGTCAGACTAACTGGTGTTGACCGGGATGTCCTCCAGCTGAAGTTTGGCACTGAGGACAAGGGATTTGGGTCCCTGCCAGGCAGAGAAAGGTTTCTCGTTTACATTTCCTCACCTCCCTCTTTCAGGTCTAGTGTCTTTTCCCCATGACCAGGAGCTCATAGAAATGGTTAAGTATAAGATGATTGTGTGCTGGGAATGTGGGTACTAAACCCGCATGGACAGTTCTGGGTTTCTCTACTAATGCGTCTGCGCTGGGAGTGACTCACCCCTAACCCGGTGTGGAGGGGGCGGGGGAAGCGACTGGCAAGGGAAGAGGGAGGCGTGTGTGAACTCCAGATGTTGCATGTGCCCTTAGGTTTGGCGCTGGGTGTGTTTTAGCGTGAGGACCTCAAAGGGCAGCATCAGAGAGCTGCACTGAGCTGCATGGAGGAGTAGTGGGGAGGCACGTTTCGTCATGCTGACATCTTAACAAAACTGGGACTAAGGGCTTCAGTCAGGCTTAGGCAAGGGTTACAGCATGTCCCAGCAGGAACCCCAACCTCTGGTCCCATTCCTGGGGGAAGTGCCTGGATACATCAAGTGGGTCCTAAGAGACCTAAACAAGTCTCACTTCTAGGATGTAATGCTTATACTTTGTATCATTATTTGTAGAAGTTGAGATCTTGTGTTTTGCCTTTTAAATTATGCACAAAAGCATGGTTCCTAGTGGCTACACTAGGGCTCAAAATGCCCATTTAGAAAGCTACCAAGTAGCCCAATGATGCTGTTGGAGAGTCTGAAGCCCAGGTTTTCAGACTATGAGCCCCATGAGGCTGGGAGATTTGTGATAATTCCATAAGCCTCAATCCCTTACTCCTTGCCCATGGCCTCAGGACTAGCACCCCTGGGTTCTGGGAGGACAGAGTGCCCCTCGCAAGTAAGTAAGCAAAGTCCTGGGCAATTGCACCAGAATGTGGCTTACTGGTCAGTCACAGAGGGGCCACACTGCTCCTCAGCTGCTGAATCCTCGTAATTGCTGCTAGGAGCCATGATGCCAGAACTGGGCTTGACCCAGCACCAGCCACTCCCCAGCCACGGTGTTGCTTGGGTCTGTGCTGTACACAGTCTCTGGGCCCTTCTTTCTTACTCTAGTCCAGCACAGAAATTTTTCAGTTGTATGACTAAGGATCTGGACTATTGGCCCTGGGAGGGTACCACCCTCATGCCACCAGCAGTGTCCTCCTTGAGTACATGGCTATCTGGCTCCTTGCGGCACATACCCTCGGGTCCCTGTGCCTGGGCTGGGTGAGCCCTGTGTCCAGGATCATGATGCGTGTGTTTCTTTCCTGGGCCACAGCCACCCCACGTCATGCTGCAGCGCCGCGGAGATCATGGCTGTCCTCTTTTTCCACGCCATGCGCTACAAGCCCCAGGACCCCCGGAACCCTCACAACGACCGCTTTGTGCTCTCCAAGGTAGGAGCCCAGCCTGCTACCCTTCACCTGGGGCTGGATGTCATGTGGGCCCTGGATGGGTGAGAAGATGCTGGCAGTGAGCCATCTCCAGCCTTCTCCCCCAAGGCTCCTTCTGTGCCAACCTAGCTGGTAAACTTAACCTGAGTTAAGGAATAAATGACCGAATTAATAGGGGACAATGGAAACAATCTGCCATGTGTTTTGCCCATTTGGTGTTGATATGCAAGACTCGCGTCCAGGCCTGGGTACGGCTTTGTGGCTTTCTGCACGCGTCTTTCTGTGCTGTGCCAGCACCCCTAGACCACAGCTTGCCCCCTCAGAAGTGGTAGTTCATTGCAGCAGGGTTTGGGATGGAGCATCCTGTCCTACGCCACCCACGGGAGAATCACAGCCACAAACTATGCTACGAACTCTTGAAATCCACCTGTACCCAGGCCTGGCTCTGTGGCCTCTGGTCTCTTGGAGCAGGCATGAAAGCTTAGAAGTCTGTCCAAGTCCACTCACATGCCAGAAACCAAGGATTAGGGCAGCTGGCTGCCTGCTGGGGTTTTGGCTTCGGCAAGCCTCACAGCTGTGCTCCCCCTGCACCTGTCCTAGGGCCCGCTTGGCCTTGGCTATGGGAATTTCAGGCTGGAGAAGGATGAAAGGAAGGGAAGTGGCCTCACTTGCTTCCTCCTCTGAAGTGGATACCCCGTCCCACAGGCTTAGCCAGGCCTCAGGTTTCAGTGAAGTGGGAACAGCCCCCCAGTATCAGCTCCCGCTCTGACCACTCCCTCCACCATCCATCCCTTGGCAGGGCCACGCAGCTCCCATCCTGTACGCAGTCTGGGCTGAGGCCGGCTTCCTACCCG